CACCGGGTTCGATATGGTGCTAGGCATTTCAAGTCTGAACATATATTTTTCCACAGCTTTATCTAGTCTGTTCTTGAACGCGTTCATACTTGGAGCGCCAACGATGTCATCGGGGAGGCTGTTCCACATGTCGGTGATTCGAAGCGAGAAGAAATGTTACCGCGCGGATGACTTGCAACGCAATTTTTTAGTTCATAGCCGTGGCCCCTGGTGTTGGTTCTTGTTTCAAATTCTTGTAATCCTTCTAGAACCTTGTATAAAACATGAGTATACTTGTAAACTTCAATGAGGTCTCCACGCAGACGTCGATAACTGAGGCTTGGAAGCTTCATAATCTTTAATATTTCTTCATAGGACTTGCCCTTCAAGCCTGGAATTATCCTTGTTGCACGTCCTTGAACATTCTCTATTAAATTTTTGTCCTTTTCAAATCTGATGACCACACGTTTCCAAACTTTAGATTCTGGCGCAGCAACAATCAACTGCATCATCGCTTCTGCATCTATATAGGAACTCCCAAGAACGTCTGAATAGTCCAAGAAGTTTGTTGGATGTATTAGCTTGCGTTTCAATATGCTTAGAAAATTTCAGCTCTTTGTCGACATAAACTCCCATCTTTTTTCACACTAGACTTTTCAATCATTACTCTCTCGTTGCAACCATGTCTTCTCATACAGCAATCTTGGTGTTCATTGTTCTTTCCGATGTGAAGTACTTTACACTTGTCAGCATTAAAACGCAGCTACCACGTATCAGCCCAGTTAACTAAACTGTCAGTCAAGATCATCTTGCAATTGAGCTTTATTTGACGCATCCTTCACTGTGTTATAAATTTTTGTGTCGTCGGCATACATGGAGCACATGCTTGACACTACTTCTGGCAGATCGTTTATAAAAGCAACGAACAAAATAGGCCAAGAACGCTTCCTTGTGGCACGCCACTGCGCACTGATGCTCAGTCTTACACGGATCCGTTAATACTGACAAGTTGTCGTCTACCTACTAGAAAATCTCTGATCCATTGGAGTACGTTTCCCTCAATTCCCAAAGACTTCACTTTACGCAATTAACAGCCGCTCATGCGGAACACTGTCAAATGCTTTGGCAAAATCGGTGTACACTGCATCCACTGGCTCCCTTTCGTCCAGCAAGCGAGTCCAATCGTTCAACGTAAACAATAAGTTAGTGGTGCAGGATCTACCGGCAATAAAGCCATGTTGCCAGTCTGATAAGAGACGGTGAACAGTAAAGTGATCGATAATCCTATCCCTCACAACATAGTTATCGGGGCTACTTTTGTAACCTTTTTTGAACAATGGTGTTACTTGAGCTTCTTTCTAATCGGCCGGCAAAGTTCCTTCGTTCAAGGTTTTTGAAAGAGAAAAAGACTAGAAAGACAGTCTGCCAATTTTTTTTCCTTATTTTTTTAGTGAATTCAACGCTCCCTCAGATGTTCGAGACCACTTTACACATGCCAACAATGATATAGCTTGTTCAGAACCATAAACATGCGGAAGTGAATAACATTATCCTTTGAAAATTCACCCTAAGTTTGGGAAGCACTGGATTCCTCGGTGAGGAATCGATATTCAACCTCGGTAAGCTGGCCGTCCTTACCACCATGGTTCCGGGGGGCAGTGGAACATGTATTTCTCGGTGGGTCAGCTGATGCCCCCAGTTGGGTCAGCTGATGCCCTCAGTTAGGTCAGCTGGTGCCCTCAGTTGGGTCAGCTGATGCCCTCAGTACGGTTAGCCCTCGGTTGGGCAGGCAGCTGATGCACGATGCTGTTGCTTTCTTCTTACCGATGCTAGTGGTGCAGAGGCGGACTATCAGAGATTGCATCCAGGAAAGCGTCCACAGTCTCTTGAAGGTCTTGAATGAGAACTTCCACCCTCTCAGCCACATCGGTAAGGATTGTAGCCTTTGTTACAGGCGGCCAGCTGAATGCTGTAACCGAATCAAGGTTAGGTCTGGCGCGCATATCAATGCTGATCACGTGTGAAGCACTTGACAGATGTTTGGACATTGTAAATCCATCAACAAATAAAGATTCGAGATTCCAGGTAAACATGTCAATCACCAGACAGAAAACAGGATTTATAGGATCGCCATGCAGCTTACAAATTACAATCTTCGAGAGGATCCCGCACCAGCATGTGTTCGTAACTTCAAAATTCGCTCACGTACACGTAGCGGCCGATTTCTCGTCTGTGATTGGCGGGTTTAGTTTGAAAAGCCATCAGTGATTGGCCGACGGAGTTACAAACTCGATGGTTGCTTATTTTTGATAGTACGGCTTCAAATTTCCTGGTCGCTACTAACGTAAACTTTTCGAATGAAATAATTTTTGCCGACGAGCGTTGCACGTGCCGACAAGTCCGTACGACCAGCACGTAATGAGGGAAACCGCAAGTAAGAAATGGGCGAGACTTTGGCCAATTAGCGATGCACTTTTTACCATTTTGTGGGTCATCCTTAACCGGTTTGTTCCGACTAATTAGCAGTGCTACGTCCGCGATCTGCTCGTGCTATTGGTAAGTAAGTGTTAAACAATTTGGGCAGAATGACTCGTGCATTGTTCTGTGTGAAAAAGTGGTTGCACGCGATGAATAATTTCAAATAGTACTATAGTCATCTATCGAAATAATAATATCCTAACTTTATTTGATGAAAACTTTGAACAAATTTGTTGTTCCACCTAAGTTTCACTGCCCAAATTTAAGACGTCACGCAGCAATTGAAATATAAATCATTATATATAAATATAAGTATGTTACCGTAAATAATGTTTACCTGCATTGACATTTATACACTTAACACTCATATACAACAATTTGTTGCAAGAAATAATTTCTGTGTGTAATTTCACGCGGTTTTCTTAAATAATATCAAGGATTCGACCTGGTCGTAACAACTGCTTGGGCCCGACAATGCGGCGCAGCAAATAATGACGGGCGGGAATTTAATCCTGCAGCATCCCTCTGGCATCGCAAGTAATCCTTTGTAATCCGGCCGCTAATGCGCGGTAATCCGGTGCAGTAATCCGACCGTCTTCTGGTGATCAAACGCGGTATCTTGGCGGTGTGTGAGCGCGTGTTGAAGTATACGGTAAGACGGTTGAAATATACGGCGGTGTGTGAGCGCGTGTTACCTACATAGAAGTATTTCCTGCATGTACGTATTTCCTACGTAGACGTATTTCCTGGATGTACGTATTTACCTATAATTTTTGAGTTCACCTTGCACTTGTGATGACATCATTAGCATGACAATGTGGTGTCGTTTGCTAAGCAGCGCTGCGCACCATATGTCACTGTCTGCCTCCTCTGATTTGTTGCATGGATAATGAACTTGTGGTGTGCACCTTGCCACCATGCATGTTGCACTGCCACCATGCATATTGCACTGCCACCATGCATATTGCACTGCCACCATGCATATTGCACTGCCACCATGCATATTGCACTGCCACCATGCCACCATGGATAGATATTGCACTGCCACCATGCATATTGCACTGCCACCATGTGCATTCCTCAGCTTGGCTGCCATCGCTCGCGGCATGCGTGGCAAGGATGAAGTCTGAAAACATGTGAAGATATTAAATACCTTAACAACACTTCATGATGAAGTGGTCGCTGGGTGATGAAGTGATCCTGTCGTCGATGAAGAAAATTGCGAAGTTTTGGTCTCTAAAGTTCGATGAAAATATTTCTAGCGTTGTAGTTTTGCTAGGAAATTGTCATGGTAGTTGGAAGCATTACTAGCAGGGGAGGGGGAAGCATGAAGGTGGTGGGGAGAAGGGAGGATGGCTGGATGGGGGGGGGGAAGCAACAAATTGCCGCAATCGCGCCAAGAACGCCACGGGATTGCGTGGCGATGAGGCGGCGATGTGGCGTAACTGTGGCATCAGTGTGCCGTATTATTCTTCTTCGAGGGAAGATATTCTCGGAGGTGCAGAAAACCTTTAAAAAATGAACTCATGTAGGGCTGGTAAGTAATAGATTAATTTCTTCTCTCCCTTCCGGGCTTAGAAGAAATGCCTTAATAGCAGCCTTATATGTGAAATCTATTAAAAAATATAACTCAGTACTCACTGCAGTGAGTGACAGAGAGCGCATTTTCTCGCCGACGTAAACGTGAAGTCACGGACGGACAGACAAACGGACAGACAGACGGACAGACAAACGGACAGACAGACGGACGGACATGGCGAGCACAATGATGCATTTTTTCCATAAATGAGAAAATGCGCTAAAAATGGCAACGATAAACGTGTTACCCCTCACATGAATTTAATTGACATTCATTAATACAACCAAATAAAAAAGATAATTTTTACCTCTTCTTTACTCTGTTAAAAATGTAAAAATTACCCTAGAGGATTTTTACTTTAGTTCAGAAGCAATTTATTCTAGGTAATAAATGTACCTAGGTAATCTCCCGTTTTGAAAAGCATTAAAAAATTTATAAATGTTTACTTCTCCTTTGAATTGTAAGGCAAGTGAAAAAATTCAATATTTCGTTGGCTGCGATACCGATGTTGACCTCTCGTGCTAAGCCGACACGCCCACTCCCCGCTGTGTCCAATCACGTCCAACCTCACGAAATGCTCACTAATGTCATACTTATCTTGTTGTGAATAACAGCATTTCGTATTAATACATAATGCATACATTTTAAATGTATGTGAGAACTTTTGAATCGTTGCCACATCGAATCGTTCGCTGTTAATATGCAAGAGTTGTAGTTTTATATACTGTTAGTGTCGCAGTTATAATTTCATTTATTCTCTTGTATTACAACTAGACTTTGAATCCTGAAAATAGATACTCATACCATCATTTGTTATTTTTAGTGTACAAAATGTTGTCCTTTAAAAATATAAATGCTCTGCCTAGGGAGCGAACTCTCTACTGCAGTTGATTATGATCATGCACTGTTCAGGGACTTCAGTGATCAGTCTCAGTCTTCACTCTTCAGTGATGCCAGTGCTGTGGTGCTGGTAGGTTGTGTTGCTCTTTGTGCGCCCGACGATGTCTGAGATGCCGGAGATTTGGACGCTCAAGAAGACACGAGTTCTTGTTCCTCAGTAAAAGATTTCAGTTTTAACGAGCATACCACTTGAGAAACGTTATTTATTTGTGAATTTTTTAAGGACAACTTGATCCTAAAAAGTTTCATTTTCGTGTTGGATACTTTTACTGTTTTTGTCTTCATTTCTTCCGAAAGTGTTACCCATTACAAAACATTGTACGCGTGTCCAGAAATTATGGTTTAGTTTAATGTATGACCTCGAAAAAACTTTTTGTATGTACTGTATGAGGAAAAAGTGATTATTTGAATCTGGGATTCTCAGTTAAAAAAATATTTATTAAGCTCCGCCGACATTCGTGGTTAGTTTAACTGACTTCCTTTCCTCTCTGGATTCACTGTACTGAGGTAAGCACACTTCACTCAAAGTTTAATTATGAGTTAGTGTCACTGAGGCATTCATTGATTCAAGCATAGTTGCAGACAACTGAGAAAAGTTCTCCATAATTTTTTGTGCTCTATGGGTAGACCTTTTAGAGATCAGGAATAGAGTATCATACATAAGTTATTGATTGACTGAACACTTGAAAATTAGAAATGAAGTGGCACCTGAAATTAAGACGACTCTTATCATGTGCCGCTGTGTCTTCGTGGACTTGCCTGACTCAATACTATTTTGGCTCTTATGGGGATTATGTAATCAGAATATTAGTTTTATACCTTTCTCATATTGTAAATTAGCTTCTTAGCAGTTTTTTTATTAACGATTTATGCAGTGCAACATCAACAAAGTTTGCCTGTGAACACGTTTGTTTACAAAGCCCGCATTGTAATGAGTTCTTCACTGAAGCCGAAATCAGACGAGTCAACCTAATCTCCCTCTGGCTAACTTGTGCGCGCACCAAACCTAAAAGCGGTCACGATGTTACGGTCTTATTATTTACATGTATTAACAAATAAGAATTAATCTTCTCGTGGCGGAACAATAAACAAAATAGGGTATTATTGCAGATTAACTACATCCAAAAAAAAACATGTTAGTAAATAAAGGTGAGTGGGTAACGTAAGTTACGTAACCCCCATGTTAGTAAGTCGCGAAAAAAATCGGTTTTCCGATGCCGACCGCCAAAAATGAACTTCAGATTCGTAATCTACACCCCAAAAAACATATAATTAAAAAAAAAACACCCTTTTTTTTGGATGTAGTTAATCTGCAATAATACCCAAAATAGTCATGGAAGCACTATTGTGAAGATGTAAGAGATATATTTGAATCGATGTTAAAAAATCTTCGATTTCAAGTAAGTCATCAGGAAGCTCGGCTGGGATGGATTTAGTTGTCTCGCCTCGGAGCCGTATTATAAATAATTTGCCTTTAAAAATTACTCTTTAAAGATAACACTTCTAAAGAATTCAGTGTCTGCTATGTTACAAATGTAGAAAGAATTTTAATTTTATTATCAAATATTAAAAAGAATAACTTCAAATTTTATTTTTAAAATTTAAAAAGAATTAAATTTTTAGAAATTATTTATTCTGTCCATTGAATCATGCATTGTCTCAAACTTACGCAAGTGTGCAAAATTTCAGATCGATTGGACAGGTAGGAGTCTGTTAAATAGCGATTATAAGATATCGATATGTAGCAGGCAAAATATTATTCTTTTAATTTTCAAAATTATTTATTACGTCAATTGATTCATGCATTGTCTCCAACTTTACACAAGTGTGCCAAATTTCAGATCGATTGGACAGGTAGAAGTGTGTTAAATAGCGATTATAAGATTTGCAGCAGACCGACAACAAGAAGTGAAGTTGAAGAGAAGTTTTGTAAAAATACTTCGAATTTCGTAACTCCGTCAGCCAATAACTGACGGCTTTTAAATCTAAACCCGTTAATCCCAGGCGAGAAATTGGTCACTACGTGTTCATTGGGCGCTACATGTCCTTAGGCCGCTACGTATACTTTCGCGTATTTTGATAGTTGTGCCCTTTAAACCTGAAAACGTCTTGAAATCTACGCAGCCGCGCCGCCTTGTCTGACGACATGCGGCGCTGGCTATTGGTCTTGATAGATTACCGAGATACATTAATATGATAATTTAGCCAATAGATTTCCATGATACAACTACAAAGCAGAATATAAGAAGTAATATTAACAATGGTTGTCTCATGCATGTACTATGATGACTAATTAACCTCTAAATTAGAGATGAACAATCATCTCTATTAACGATGGTTATGTCAGGCATATTATATGATAATTGATTACCGTGTATAATTAGTTAGAGTAACCATCGGCAAATCGTTCGATGTCTACTAACCTGAGCATATTTCCAACATCGCGAATTTCGCGAGCTTATTGTTGAAATATTTTTATGCGCGTTACCTGCGGCATACCATTGTAGGTAGTAACCATTATCAATATCCGTGATGGTTCAGGTTGAATCATCACTAGCAATACTGCAGCGTAGGTAGTAACTATTACCGGTATTCGTGATGGTTCAGGTTGAATAGACCGATCATTTCAAACGTGGATCATTTAAAGTTTCCTATTCCGTCTCAAAAGACGTTATTTTCTGTCCCGTTTATTTATGTCATTTATCGTATAACTTGCCTATTTTATCATTTTATTTCCCTATTTTGGTATTACTTGCCTATTTATTTATTCAATTCCATGTATATTTTATTGCGACCATTATTCGAGTGTAACGTAGAGCATAATTTATAATCGACACTCGGAGAAATGAATACGTCATATTGTTTAAATAGTGACACACTTTCTGCACTTAGCACTGATATGCCTTTATGCCGAGTGGAACCGGGTCAAGATGTGTACACTAGAGCGAAGAGTGCATCGCTAGTTAGACAAGGTTTCGCTAATTTCTCTTAGTAATTAAGGGAAGATTTAGGAAATAAAATAAGGTGCAGTGCCGTGCAGCACGACACGCTGTGTGTTGTGGAGAGCAACACGGGGCCGTGTCGTGTACAGCAACACGGGGCCGTGTATCGGGCAGCGCTGAGGGCCAGGATGTGGGGTGTTTACAAATACCCAGGCTCCCTCCATGGCGGAACCTGGGGCAGGATAAGCATGAGGTAGGCAGCTCAAAAATTGAGGGAAATCTAAAAAAAACATGAGAAGAAGGGATGGATTAGCCTTTTAAAATCATAAAAATGTAATGGCGTTTAGTTTTTTTTTCATATCAGACTCTTCCTGACCAACACCAATGACCACCATCACGCAGCAGACTCTCCCTGACCAAGACCAATGATCACCAACACACACCAGTCTCTCCCTGACCAACACCAATGACAACCAACACACACCAGTCTCTCCCTGACCAACACCAATGACCACCAACACACACCAGTCTCTCCCTGACCAACACCAATGACCACCAACACACACCAGTCTCTCCCTGACCAACACCAATGACCACATACACACACCAGACTCTCCCTGACAACAAATCAGACTTGTGTGGGCGGTGGCACACAAATTTCCATACACAATTGAAATAATATGAAGCTATAGTGACCATAAAGAGAAAATAAAAATGGAAAAAGACATTAATATAGGAAAAAAAAGATTAAGAAACAGCCATACCAGCAAAGAGGCAACAGAGCGGAGTGTGCGGCACAACAGGCGTGCGTTCCTCATAACAAGCTTCTGATTTATTAGGTGGCGCTGTAAGCAAGACTCGTCTTATTTAGGCGCCTATGGAGATATTTATCGCTCACACAACGCACTTTTGCGCGAATGACTTGAAGGGGAGACCAGCTTGACCAAATATTCCCGTCATATACACTCAGAAATATAAATGGGTCTTGCTATCCTAATAGTGACTCACTTACTTAACCACAACACGGCCCTAGAACCAACTTCACACCGATACGCTTTTTTGCACGACCAAGCTAGGTTAGGGTGACCCACACTTTGCAAGAAAGTGCATCGCTGTTTGGACAGGCACTCGCTCATTTCATTGAGTGTATGGTGTAGTCGTCGCCTGGGTACATGATGGAAAATGTATTGCCTTCCTCCTTGGTTTTAATTATCAAGAAGGAATCTGCAGTGTAAACTGAAATTCTAAGTTACTCCGTCGTATAAAGGATATTAAAGATTAAATTTATATTGATGGTGTACTGCTGTCTATCCAGCGTTTCCTTATTCCAGTGATTTGCGTGAGTCATAATTTTCACTCGTAAATTCAACACATAATTCGCAGGTCATAAATTCAACACTCAACAAATCATTGTTCGAAGAGAAATTTTCTGAAGTCGAGAAGACCCGTCACTAGAATGAGCTCTATAATAACAATTTCCTTCGATGATGTAGGTATTGTCTCTTGTTAATGCTTGATTTTGCCCAGTAATTTGCGTGCGTCCAGATCCGCACAGATTGGTCACATAGTTTTACTATTATAATACAGAACAAGTATATTGGTCACATAGTTTTACCATTATAGTGCAGAACAAGTATATTGGCAGCATGTACAGCTCGTAGAGTTTCCAATTCTCATTTTGTATGGACGCAATTCAGCGACCCGCGCCTCAAAGGCAACGTCTTTTTCTTCTCACAGGCGAGCGGCGGCCCAGCAGCCTGCGTCCTGGGGAGCCTCCGCCCCCCTCCGTGGGCCCTTACCCCACCTCTCCCCCTCGCTACTGTCCCTTCAAAGTAATCTTTTCTTTAACAAGCTGCTTTTTTTCGTTATTTTGGCATTCTCCAATTTTCCCTGCCCAATTAAAGAAGAAAAAGGAAAGACGTGGACCTGCTCTCAATTTTGGCAATTCAAATCCATTTTCCCTCCGCATTGGATTTATGTGAAAAAAGGGGAAAGCTGACTGCTAAATTTTCCGACTTTTGATTGTGACATATCCTCATCTTTTCAACCTTGCACTTCTCTCTGTTGTTCTTACTATTCCTTCAGTTTCACCTTCCTTACTCCCCTTTTCCCCTCACCCTTCCCTCCCCCAAGCGAGAAGCAGCATCCCGTAAGGTTAGCTTTGATCCCCAGCGTTTGATCTCGCAGGTCTCATCACAATGGCCGGTTATCTGCCTCCTGCCTCTGCCTCTGGCGGCTCATCTCCTCAAAAGCTCCCTCAAAATACCGCCTTGTCTTCAAAACCGGAGGGATACATGCGAGAACATTCCTCTTCTGATACCGCCGTGTCTCGGGAACAAGAGGGATACATGCGAGAACATTCCTCTTCTGATACCGCCGTGTCTCGGGAACAAGAGGGATACATGCGAGAACATTCCTCTTCTAATACCGCCGTGTCTCGGGAACAAGAGGAATACATGCGAGAACATACCTCTTCTAAAACTGTACATTCGTCTTATCATCATTCCTCCATATTTTCCTCCTCTCGATTGGTTACTTCGCCCCCTTGCCTGTTCTCCTCGAATTCTCCAGCACGTATCCCCAATCACACTCTAACGAATCAATCAAAAATTTCGTACGTTTTTCTTATTAACGATTTCAATGCTGAAAATTCTGCAACCAAGATACCGCAAATTTTCGACTCGAAAGATGGCGAAACGGTGGGCATCTCTGCGCCCGCGTGCAGAGAACTCTCTTACAAATTTACAAATCAATCGAAAAACAATAATGCAATGAACAATTCTACACAGAATTCCTCTGAAAACAAGGAAGATAAGAGCTACGCAATGTTAGCTTCTAGAAGAGTAACTTCGCCTGAAAACCAGACCTGTGTATCTCGCCCCAACTTGTGTATGAATCTAAACGAAGCAGAATCTCACGTCACCGACACAACAAATGCAGTGAGCGTCACTTCTTCTTCACGTCACAGGAAAATAACGCACTGCACCGACCACACGTCTCCCTGGGTCACGATGACACACTTCCTCGTGAGCTGCCTCGTCCTGCTCTCCTCCTTCATCCCCGTCGTGTTGAGCATCACGTCGCTACGAGGATCATGGATGTGAGTACTAAATATCTTTATTCTATATCAGCTCTCTTGCGAAAATTAATGGGTTGACATGTATGTTAATGGGTTACACATGTATGGGTTAATTACATGTATGTAACTAATGTATGTTGACATTTGTTCAGGTATTTTGTATATTAGTACGATCACTATTGTTTCATTAACTGGTATTACATGTCATTTTTCTGCTTTTAATTTGAATAAAGTCTATTGCGTAAGCTGGAGGATGTGTTTAAGCTGACTTTTTTGAGACACTATCTAGACAGACAAATCGCCGTTCAATGGTCGGCCAGACATAAGCCTTCATCTAAAGCATATAAGGGATGAGGTGAAGGAGCAATGTTCTATATAGCAGCCTATAGGGTATAGGCTCGTAAACTGCCTAGTTTGGCACGAGGCGAAACCTTGCACCTCGCATCGAAGCGTTCAATTTGAGTGCGGTGATGGCGATAGCGTAAGCAGCGCCCCCTAATCTAAATCACTTGAGTAAGCACCCGCCACCAGCCCAATTATACGCCCTCGCAAAAACGCGTGTGGGGAGGTTACTTTACTCTCAGAGAAATGAGTGGGACTTTGTTGTCCTAATAGTGATGCAGTTTTGTTTTGTGTGAGTCATCTTGACTCTGTTTGGTCCGGCAAAGGGCGGATCACTGCTGCATCGATCGTTTCTCTGATCGTGCGGTGGGTAAATAAGTGCGTCACTCTTTTGACATGGAAACCCCCAGTCATCTTTCTGAGTGCTCGATGCACATATCTTGCATACAGGTCTCGTTTTTATGAACTACTTTTGCTTCAATGTTACAGGTTGTTTTTTAATGAAGTCAAACGTGCTTCAATTTCAGAAGTAAACCTTTGTTATTTTTGGACTGCACGTGCTTGTGTTCCAGCGTATGAAGCTCAATTATAAGGCTCAGGAGCTGGCGCCGTTCCATACTGAAAAATGGAGGAAATGGAATTTGTGTTGAGCGCTCGAACTTTGGCTGCTGTTGTTATCAAGACACATGGATTAAATATAATCGTTACTTGTCGACATTACCGCAGTTTTAGCTGCACTTTCTCTTGGTCTTGATCTACCTAGGAACGTTTGTGTAGGAGGCGAAGTATTGGCTTTATTTAACATTTAGGCAGCAAGAGAAATGTGTAGACATTTAACAACTATAAATAAAAAATCAAGGCCTTATTATTTATTTTCTTAAATTGCATGGTGCGTAGAATTTTATGCTCTAAGCTACATAGACGCATTCTTGCTGTTCTAATGCGCCTGCCGCGAAGTCTCCGTTTGGATGTCTAATTTTTTCAATGAGTTCAAAATTTTTATTGGAAAGTATAATATACTCGAAATGCTTCATTATATCTAGGTGAGAATAGTATAATAAACAAGAAATACATAAATAAAATTTAAATAGTCATACATGCTGATTCCGCATAAATTATAGTAGTTTTCTTTAAATATTTGAATTCTTATTCAATGGAATTCTTGTCCTTTGATGTCAATTTATAATTCATTCATAACGAGCACGTTGTTGTTGTTTTCATCGTGAAAGTTACTCGTTTCGAACTTAAACCTTAATCGAGATCATTACAATTAACAACGGTACCGGTATATAGTTTGATCTTTGCCGTTGAATCACAACAGCGTACAGGTGGAACTACTGGATCAGCTGGACCACTATAATAACGGTACCCTCTATAAAGACGCTGAGGCTGAGTGTATATTGCTCTGGTGCCCTCGGCCTGTGATGTGTGGCCGAGATGAAGCTGTTCGAGAGATGTGTTCATATGAGCGTGAGTGTTAGTAATATCTCATGACCATTTAAATTTCCACTTTGTCTGTGTACAAGAGTCCGCTGTACATGTACAGCGCACGCAGCGTATTATTTACGCGCTATGCGCCGCTCCTGTAAGATGTACGGTTTTTTTCGTTATTTTGGCATTCTCCAATTTTCCCTGCCCAATTGAAGAAAAAGGAAAACCGTGGACTTGCTCTCGGTAACAACATCCTGTGCTATTCCTACACTGTACAGTGTAGGAATAGCATTAATATACTCACCATAGGCCGTACTTTTAACTTGTTGCGAATGATTCAGTCACATAGTGACCGTGTGATCAAGGTTTGGCAAATGACAGGGATGTACACGCATCCCTGTACATGTACAGAGCACGCAGCGTATTATTTACACGCTGTGCGCTGCTCCATGCACTTTATTCGCGTGCAATACTGCTGAGTTTCTTACAATTTTTTAACCTAAATTCAGTCGCGTTGTTCAGTTCATTGAGTAAAATGACATCGTTCGTAAAGTGAAAGTTGTGCCATCGTTCCACATAATTACTAGAAGACTACAATGAAAAAAACATTACTAAAACTAAAATTCATTTTTCCTTTAATTTTCTAATAACGGGTACGCTTGATTTATGAGATAGAATAATTTTGGAGAACGTGTACGCTTGATTAAAGAAATGTCATATTTATTTGGAAACTTGCATAGTTGAACTGAGACAAAATTTTGCCCTAGAAAACTTATGCTTGATTCAAGACATGGAATATTCTTTTAAAAATAATGTTTGCTTGATTTCAAGCGTGGAATATTTTAGAAAACCTTGTGCGGTAACTTGATTTAAGGCATCGAATGTTCCCGTATAATTGAGATCCATTTGAGAAACCATCAAATTAAGTAGGCAATCTTTATCAGTATTACTCATGACGACCCTCTAAATAACGCTCAATATACTGCGTATATACTCACCATCGTATACTCACACGTTTGCTCATATGATGAAAACCTCGCCTGGTCTGTACAGCGTAAAGAATAGCTCGTAAATAGAATACAACTCTCTTGTTGGCCGCCATCAGCGTGCGATGCGGGACTTATAGCGGCCTGTGGATATGAAGAATTGATGTAGCGTTCACGTTATCTTTTGGTAATAAGAAGGTCATGACCAAGAGGATGAAAGCTTCATGGTAACTCATTGTCTGCTATCTGTCTGTCTTATGCGGTGCTCCACTCGCCTCTCAGTCTGCATGCGGGCCTCTCCTTGCTCCCTACAACTGATGGCTTTCATCATGTCCTCTAAGATACCCATTTGTCGCTTGCATGTACGGAGAGCTTTCATTTGCAGCAGTCAGCGGGCCGTTTGTTTCACCGCCCATGTTTTTTTCGGCACCTTGTAACAAATTTACGGCACCCTCTTCGTAAATTTATACAAAAAATGATACGTTATCTATTTTTAGCGCATTTTCTCATTTATGGAAAAAAAGGCGCCAGTGTGCTCGCCATGTCCGTCCGTCCGTCCGTCCGTCTGTCTGTCTGTCTGTCTGTCCGTCCGTGACTTCACGTTTTCGTCGACGAGAAAATGCGCTCTCCATCACTCACTGCAGCTAGTGAGTACTGAGTTATATTTTTTTCAAATTTCTACTGCCTGTGATGACATATGTGTTTCACTGGAAGCGTTTAATTGATGTCGCATTTTTGCGAAATTCGATTATTTTCGTAGGTACCTACATTGTACGTGCATCTCCTTTACGTGCACGTCGCTGTCGTCGTTCAAAATGTCTCCGTGCATCTCGTGCCCCAGGTTTTTCAAGCACGTGTCTTGCTGAAGTTGTTCTGCGTCAATCTTTAAGTCAGTTTCGGAATGATAAATAGCGGAGTTATCGTGCAAATTCTTGTCTCAGATTCTTGTCCGTTTTATCGCTGACTACCTCCAGAAAAATGACCTAGTCATGTTGTCCAAATAGTGACGTGCTTCCTGCTGGTAGAAGTGATACGCCTCGTGTCCAGGGGCAAACTGTGTCAGGGTGACCAGCACACGGTAAAACGTGTATCACAATCTGGACCTAAGTCTCGCCTATTTGTGTGAGTGTACGAGATATTCACTACCGGCCGCTGGCTATGAGCCCATGTTATCCAGTGGACGATGGTGCATGGCTGGGAATCCAGTTCTGAGGATATCTTTTTCTCACTGAAGAATACCTTGAGGCGGACGCTCATAAAATCCTGCACAAAGTCGACCTTCCGAGAAAAATCTCATTGCTTATACCGGTGTTGATTGTGCCGCAGCTTTTATAGGCTCTTAAAATTAGCGAAGATAGCGCCACATGTGGGGACGACGCGGGTGCCTTCTCTCACTTGCTGCCACGCCGCGACACTCGCTGAAATAAGACTTTGTCTCAATAGCGATGCACTTTTTGTGTTCATGTGGGTCATCCTGACCTAGTTTGGCTCAGAAAAAAAGACGCATAACAATGCTATAGGTAGAAAGTGTGTCCATAAATGGACAATATGATCCATCAAGTTTTCTGAGTTCGCCCATTCCACACTTGTCTTTTTTTCGCCCACAAGATCAAACCATTAAAATTCCATCCTGTATCACTGATACGAAGCTAGTGTCGTGTTGCATTTTTGACGATGCTCGGGGGGACTGTATTAAATAGCTGTATCAAATAGCTGAATTAAGTGGTTGTATTAAGTGGCTGTATTAAGTGGCTGTGTGAAATGGCTGTATTAAATGGCTATACTAAATATCTGTATTAAGTGGCTGTATGAAATGGCTGTATTATGTGGCTATATGAAATGGCTGTATTAAATGGCTGTATCAAATAACTGTATTTAATAAATGTGTTGAATGGCTGTATTACAAATAACTATATTAAAAGGCTGAATTAAGCGACTGTATTAAATGACTGTAATAAATGGCTGTATTATATGACTGTATTAACTGGCTGTATCAAATGTCTATCAAATGGCTGTATTAAATAACTGTATTGAATGGCTGTATTAAAAATGACTTTAATAAAAGGCTTTATTAAGCGGCTGTATATAATGGACTACTGTAATAGTGGACTACCACTTCATTATACATGGACTACTGTAATAAATGGCTCTATTGAATGACTGATATGGCTGTATTAAATATTAGATTCCAATTGTCATGATATTTGACTAAAAATTGTTACTTTATGACTAAACTGTCACTAATGTGTTATCAGTACAATA